TGTGAAAAACCCATCCAGCTGCTTATTTTTTGGATTAAGAGAAATTAAACTTGTCAGATGGCCTGTGTTTATCACATTCAACAGCACACACATTCAGGTGTTTTACATCCTTAAATACCGACTGACTAATATGAAAGCACAGTTAACTGCTAAGTGTTAAGTGTGTTAAAAGATATAGTCAACCAATGAATGCCAGACTAACAATTATATTATAACCTCTGGGGCTCTGACTCATTGCTTAAAAAGTAAGGTTGTAATAACATTATCATATGCATGTCTTCAGACTCCTAAAACAGATGCATTTCTCTCCCCAGCTAGCTGATGGCCATAGTGTTTGATACAACATATTTGAGAATCAAGTCACAGTTCCGTCCATAAAAAATAGACAGTGTGTGCAACATTAATGAAGACTATAACAAGGGTACTGACCTGGAAAGAAATGAGAAAGAAATGAGAAGAAATCCAAAGGCAGGTATAGATCCAACAGCCCAGTATCTTCGGAGAAAAAGCACAGCCAACCAGAAGAGGAATGAAGTCTGATTCATGTAACCCAACCTCGGCACAACCTCCAAGTCTCCTTCTACCAACGCTACATCAATTGATCTACCGTCAAGGTGATTCAAACCAGGATGCAATAGCATGGCCAACAGTGCATAAAGCCTACACTTGCCACAAAACGCTGGGACATTCCTATAACACAGGCAAGGCGACCAGGGGAATCTGTCTAAATATGCTGCAGATGTTGCTCAATGCTGTCGGTTTCCATTAACTCCCTTAGGTCATACGAGAAACACGGCATAAAACGCAAGAATATGACAATCACATGTCGTAAAAAAAAACACTGCTATGTACACTCTTAAATCAATTACTGTGAATTATATAACCGCACGTAATTGGTATACCAAATGCTCGCAGCTTATATAACCTATAACCGATTCTGTTAAATCCGTTATGAGTTAAGGGATTCTGCGAATAAAGCTAATGGATGACAGTGAAGACTAACAACTCCAGCAGGCTCCTGTGCTTCCCAAAAGACAAGCGTGTCACCGTCCGGATAAGCAGCGTTTAGCAAAAATGTTCCTGTATAGCCTACTGCGTCCTATGTGCGGAGCAAATGCATCCAAACGCACCACGGCCTCCGTCCCGTCACCTGCTGAAGACTCCTATTGTGCTTTATGCACTGTGATGATGACCTGATATCAGATGGAGAGAACCGGACATCGCGGCGACACGGTGCTAGTGAGGAGGAGCCACATGGGCCGGTGGAAAAAAAACGTACACATCCTTCATTTTCTGCAGCGATGTCTTAATAAGTAATGCCTGTCATGTCATCTCAATTCAAATACACAGCTTCCCTAAGAATAGGTGAGCCCAACAAGCCCGAGTCAAACATTACTGGTAGATTAACTTGGAAGAGAAATATCTAAGGGGTCCCTAATGTCCTATAGGGGTGGGTGCCACTTCATTCCTGAGCCGAGTCCATTTCAGGTAGGGTTAAGTCGTCCTGACCGGAAATTGTGATGAGCTATGATAATTCAGTTTAACACGTTCTTATCCCTCAAAGGACAGGCGAGGGATAGGGGGGAGGGGGGGGGGGGCGGTTGATGAAGCATAGAATATCAGGCCACTGAAGAATTTAACACAGATAAAGAAAACCTCGGTTAACTTTCTCCCCGTGTGGAATTAAAAAACACCTGCTCCCTTTCACATTGTTTGTCTCATCCTGCAGGTGCCTTTCATTTCCTGAGAGGGAAAGTCCACTGTTTAATAGCGAGGCGCGCCGCTTTCCTGTAGGGCCAAAGCCTAAAATACTGCAGTGTGGTTTATTGCTGCTATGCTCTAACTAACAAACTCATACTAGGTCAGTTGAATGCACAAGCCATGTCCTGACAACACATCCCTGGCCTCAAGTCAAAGCAGCCCATGGCACAACCGAATTTCACATCTAAAAAGGTAAAATATTTACAGCAAAATAAATAAATAGAGAACTAAAACGGTCTTAAGGCTATACCACACCCGTATAGATAGACAAGCCGATCGAGTCCTACAGCATCCATGGTGCGGGTCTAGAGGAATACTGAATGTAAAATGTGTTTTTAATATCTGAGATTGCGTGAAAACAGCAGAAAAGGGTGCCGCGGCCCCTTTGAGGACTGCCAAACTAAAGACGCACCTACCTCCTCACGCAATACAGTCTCCTACGAGATTGCAAGAGGGAGGGGGCGCAGAGGTGGAGTGTGGGGGAGTGAAACTATCATAGTTATAAAATAATGGTAACGAGGAAATTGCTACCTAAAATGATTTTGCAAGCGACGCATTATTCATGCACTCGGAGCATGCAGGCTCGGTATTGTCTGCACTTACAGAAGTTTCACATGATCTCACTTCAACATCCCGTATGCGTATATTTCACATTCTGACACAGGGAAATGTCATTCCATCCAGCGGCAGGCCAACACCCCAAATAACCTGCTGTCTCCCTGTTTTCTACCGCGACGTCTCACATATCCGTGTGTCCCCTCAGAAAATCACATTTACCCTTCTTATAACTGGTACCTCGAATACATATTTTTCCATGTACTGGCAAGGAGCCCTCCACAGACGCTAGGAGAAGATGCTGAGAGAGGGACCGCTCTGCGGCACTGGGATGCAGTCGGTCGACAAAGTAGAACTGCGATCCATCCCACGACATGAAAAACCAGACAACGCAGAAATCAGACAGTCTACTTACTTTATTCCGCATTAACACAAATCCAGACAGCTGTCAATGAACTGCAGATGTAGAAAAGAGTCCAGAGTAACGGCTGTCGCCATATTGTTGCTGCTATCTTCCTTCCCAGTGCGTGCGGCTACCCTGCATAATTGATGACTCTCAGCAAATTGTTAGGGAGTGTCGGTAAATGCCTTTAGTTTCAATAACGGACAAGAGACCGCAGCATCGGCAGAAAAAAAAAACACTGTTCATGTAACAACGGACATTTATATTCTGGTTGGGATGGGTATTGCGATAGGCAACATATGTTTTTTATATTTATCTGCTATGATAAAAACTTAGGGGTATGATTACATGTTTTTTTTAATCAGACATGGAAGTAAAATGAGAATGAAGGTGATGGCATCTTGCAATATGTTTACAAATGTAAGTTTGATATGACGTTTTTACATTTTATTTGTCATAGTTAATTTTAAAAATAATTCAGAGTTTTAAGTGCATGATTAAAATGTAACTCAAGTCATTTTTTAATACCACAGCCAGTGGGGCAGTAGCCAAGTTCTTTTGTTGTATTTTTTTTAATTAAATCCAGCCTAGCTAAATCAACCTATAAATCAATAACTAACCAATGTGTGATGTTTAAGGTATACCAATTTTGAACTATGAACATCTATCCTATACGGTAGTTATCTTAATATTTACCTCAACAACAAAAAATGGCTTTGGGTGGTACAAAGTTGTTTGGTATTGGATATATTTGTATATACATTTTCTGAGCCGACATTTTGGCATAAGGAGAAGCAGGTGTTCGTAACATTCATAATGATGGCTCTGTATGATTCAAGAGTCAGTGAGGGCAGCAAGAACAATACCAGAAACTAAAGCAGCTAAATTCATTTAAATCATTTATTTTTGATATGTACACCTGTGCTTTACTGGTACATATAAAAAAGCCTTTATTTCTTGAAAATACCTACTAATGAAATTAAGACAAATACATTATATAGACAGTGACAAACATTTGTATGTATTCTGCATGAATATTCAAACGGCCGAATAACTGTCTATGTAACCACATATACTAAACCCCTATCAATACTCATAGTCTGGTATGTCCCTTAAGCATAAGCTTTCTGATGTAAGCACAGAATAATGTATCAGGGTTGTGAGCCCAGTCCCATAAGTGCATGTCCTACATGACAAAGGTTACAAACCTTGATTTATTTAATACAGTTCACTCTGCACTGTATACCTTTATTGAACAAACAGATTTTAAAACAATTTATATGGGTATCTCAGCAAATTGTGTATGCCTATATGCAATGAAGGTTTTTGAGCTCATTGTTGTTATTCTGTTCTCTTTTGCAAGACAAACCATTACAATCAATCAATCAATCAATGTTTATTTATATAGCCCAATATCACAAATGTTACATTTGTCTCAGTGGACTTCACAGTTTGTACAGAATATCCGTATGACAATGTGACAACCTCTGTCCTTAGACCCTCACATCGTACAAGGAAAAACTTCCAAAAAAAATAATGTACAGCTTTGTTAATACACAGCTGAAATTGAGTCTATGGAATACTTCATTTTGTTTTACCCTTTTTCTAAATTATTCACCCTTCAAAATACAGGGTTGTGGGATTTTATAAAATAGGTGTTTTGAACCCAACACTGTCTCCACCTGGTGGACATTGGAAGAAGTTCACCTTCAGGTCTGCATGAAATAAAAGGGCTGGCTTTAATTTTCATTCAATCAGCTTCTTTGGATTTCAGCATTATACCGCATTTCAATAAGAAAGCATTGAACATAACCCCAGCCATTACCATTACATATTTACATATTGTGTACATTTGAGTGTTAAATTCAGGCAGCTAAAGTTAGCTTAGTTATTACCAATGGTTAGCTATGGAACTAATAGTTAATTAAATATATAGCAATTATTCTAAAATACATCAAACATTTGTTTCTGTCTAGTAACGTAACGTCACTCACCACTAGCTTGAATGGCGAACGTTAAAAGTTTGCGTGTCCTATTCATGGTTGTATTGGTCCTATTCCGGCCGTTTGAATTCACTCAGGTACATGTTAAAATGTACTTCAATGGTGACACATTTAACAGTTTTCAAACATAACACAATGCGTAGCAAATAGATAATCATGGGATAGGGTTAATTCGTTGACTTGTGTAACACTATGAGGGACAAACTTATTTCACACCAGTACGTTGCGTTAGGGTGGATATTTACCGGCTTTTATTTTGAAATAGTTTCAGAGCTTCCTGTTTCGAATGCACAAAGACAGCAGCAAGTTCGGTGGACAGTTTGCTGTTGTTGACCTTTATACAGTCTATGTTGTTGACGGATTTATTCGCCACAGGGTCTAGAGCGGGAAAATGGCTCTCATAATGGCATTTTGCACTTTAATCTTCAATGTTTTATGCTTGCCTCTTCATCTGATCAAAGCACTCGGCATGTATGAAATATACAAACGTGTCTTCCCTATTTGTTTGTACCGATGTTCAATAATGTACAACAACAAAATGCACGACAAGAAGAAGGAGCTGTTTCGCAGTCTACGCGAGTTCAACAGGCATGGCAAGCAGCTCACTATTTTGGAGATCGGCTGTGGAACTGGCACCAATTTTCAGTTTTATCCACCCGGATGCAAGGTAATCTGCACTGACCCCAACCCTCATTTCAAGAAATACCTGAAGAGCAGCATGGAAGGGAATGACCACATCACGTTTGACAGATTTGTGGTGGCGTCGGGGGAGGACATGGGGGCTATTGAGAGCGAGTCGGTAGACGTTGTTGTGTGCACCCTGGTGCTCTGCAGTGTCAACAACATCCCGAAAACCCTGCAGGAGACACGGCGCATGCTGAGACCGGTAAGACCCTGACTCCTGAAATAAGAACAAATCCAAAGTAAATTCACTCCCATCCAAAGTCAAGGCCTGTAGTATTTCTATTGAGGCTACTGTTCTAATGCTGCGCAACTACTGGATTAATAATTCACCAGTGGAGATTAAAAACGTGCTCACTAAACAAAAAACAAGCAAAGAAGTCTACATTATTTATACATTTGTTTTAACAAATGGATACACAAAAATGAAGAGTAGCAAAAATCATCCCTAACACATTTAGCCTACTAGCCAAATTAAGATTGTTTAATTCCTTAGGTTGTTACCAATTCATTATCACAACCTTTAACCTACCTTTAACCTTTAATTGCTTCTTGATACCTTTGACCTGGCGACATAAATGGTGCCCTTATCTTTTTACTTTATATGTATTGAAACTCGGGAGTGGCTATATACAGGACCGTCCTGTACACAACGCCAAATGACTATATACAGGACGGTCCTGCACAGAAGCCCTGAAATGGCTATATACAGGACGGTCCTGTATATAAGGTCCCTGAAATGGCTATATACAGGACCGTCCTGTATACAAGCTCCGAAATGGCTATATACAGGACCGTCCTGTATATAGCCATTTCGGAGCTTGTATACAGGACGGTCCTGTATATAGCCATTTCAGGGCTTCTGTGCAGGACCGTCCTGTATATAGCCATTTCAGAGCGCTGTGTACAGGACGGTCCTGTATATAGCCTCGGCCTTGAAACTCAGTAGTTCAATCCAGAATGTCAAGTTTAATATAAATATCAAGCCTGTATTGTAATTTAATTTCACTTAATTCTCCTCAGATATGTAAGCCTGAGGCAAAACAATTTAACAAAAAAGCATTCATTATAAAACATGTACTATTTCTAGGGGACATAAGTGTCCCATGTATCAGCACATTATACACAAACATTATACATGGATGCACTCATGGTTTTATTTAATTTAGTGCTTACTTGATCATTTTTCTGTAAATACACAAAACATGTGTGTGCTATAATGCAGGCGGAGGCCACGACTGGATGGCTGAAAATATTGCTTGTATTTCCAATGTGTTTATAGGATCAGATTTCTTCTTTAAACATGCATTTAGGAAAATGCACCAGTAATGCACCGGCAACCCCCATATATTATATTATATATATTAGTCAATTTATTGAACATGTCAGAAACAAAACAAACAAAATTATTATTATTATAATTATAACAAAGAGAAGCAAAAAAAAGGAAAAACGTTCAAGGTACAAAAAAACAAATACATTCTCAAATAGTCTGTCATGTTCAACAGGGGCAAGAAGAAGCTAAAAAACTTTTCGTACATTTTTCTTGAAAATAAAAGATTAGGTCTTCGTCATCAGCATCCGTGATATTGGATTGATTTTTTTTAAACAAATTACGGAGCCCCTAAAGCAGGGGTGGGGAACCTTTTTCCTCTCAAGGGCCATTTCAATTTTTCCAACATCCTCAGAGGGCCGTACAAATGATTGACCTCTGCTTAAAAATACTAAAATCACAGCCCATTCATTTGGCCTTTCTTTCATGCTGTGCAAAGAAAAAGCAACCTTTTAATCCAGATATCTTACCATGACTCGTGCATGCACGTGCACGGTTGTGGCATGACCACCAAACAGAAATATATGGACACAAGATGTGTGCAAATGTATTTAGTTTCCTATCCATGTGAACATTTAAGTGATTTAAGTGTGGGGGGAGCTAACCTCCTCTAGGGAAGATTTTTTTTTAAATGTTGAAGTTAAAAGCATCAATCTGGTGCACTTTGAGAGCAACATTAAGAGATCTATGGATACATCTCTCAACACCCATATGAAACAGAACTGTAAACAGATTTTCTTTTTCTTTATGGATATTTTACAAATCACTCTCCTTTCAAACTGTATTCTTAATAACAACTTTTTTTTACTGTCATATAGTATTTTATACCTGTTTACTTTATCCTCTTATTTTTGTATAACTATAATGATCATATAAAGATGTGCCTTTACCTCACTGGTTGTAGAAAAAGCTTCTTATATTCGTTAGCATAGCTAGCTAACCAGATGCCAATAACAACAAAGTTATTGACTGTATGACAGATGAACAGATCGCCACTGGGCTTACAACTAAAGACACAGCCACGCAAAAACTGCAGCATGTGTACAGCTTAGGGATGTGCATCTCCATCACTGAGGCCGATGCGATGCGCATCTCGATACGTTGCCACGATACGATACATTAACGATACATTTGAAACACTAGGCGATGCGATACGATTCACCCCTGTTGCGATACAGTTCGATACGATTTGATTCAACATTATGCGATTTGGTGTGATACGATGCGATTCAACACGATGCAAAAATAATGATACTTCAATATGGTACGACAGAGGATTTTTGTTTTATTCCTTATATGCAGCAAATCATACATTAACAAAAAAGTGCTTTACATATTTGGTACTGCACATCCCATCATGCCGTTTATTTTGTTGCCTTTAAAAGCTTTCCAGAGTACAATTCTATAACACCTCACAGTCCACATCCAACAATGTAAGGATGCATTGCTCATGATTAACAATGTAAAAATAACAGCTACCATAGTGCAATGCCCATACAGCTGCCAGCCTGATGTGCTTAACACTCATTCATAGGCTAACTCACCAGTGAGCAGAAAGCAGTGGGTTCTATATGAACAATAAAGAATACAAATAACCTTTCACAAACAGGTATTTCATAACTGCTTACAGTAAGGAAGACATTTACATTATTATTGGCCGTCACAGGCTGCTGTAAACTAAACACCACTCTCTCTGACAGAACACCTCACTGAGTGATTTATATGGGCATAGATATGTCTCATAATTATTTGTGTGAACATAAAAATAATTTGTGTGTAAATATGTGATTTGTAAATGTAAAACAACATCCACAAATGCATTTAAAAGATTTGCAAACTCACAAATAAATGTGCAAGTGTAAAACGGATCTGCAAATACGTTAAATATGTTCACAAATAAAAAAAGATCTGTGAATATCTCTTTAACATTTACACCTTTCGATCAGGCATTTGTGAATCCATTTTGTATTTGTGGACCAAAAATGCGCTTGCGGATCTCAAATCTCTGTTCGCGGATCGTCTTTTTACACACACGGAATTTTGAGACATATTTTCCGCCGGTCTCGGCTAAAATCTACTCGTGTCACTCGGTTATTTTCGGAAACCACGTGATGGCCAGCTGATGACGACATTTCCGCATGATTTCAAAATAAGAGCATGATGGTTTGTTTAATGCTCTGTTTTTGTATTATAATAACAGCGGAACGTTAGATGCATTCTTCATCACCATCACCATCATGTTATAGTGATACAGTTAGTTTGTGTTATTGGTTCAATATAGCATATATCGAGCACTTTCGTTGATGTTGAAGTGCAGGCTATACGCCACTTTCGGGTCCCGGGGGAGCAGCTGGCAGCGAAACAGCCCAGATAAAACTCTTTCTTCATTGTTTGTTGTGTATTCAGTCAAGCGGGTCAAAGTTACAAAGCACTTCACATCTTATTAATCGACCTAATTTTACCTTACCAGTGCAGTAATAAAGTAATCTGTAGAAAAGCACCGTATTTAGGTCAGGGTTATGGTGATGAAGAATCCATCCAACGTTCCGCTGTTCATTATAATACAAAAACAGAGCATTAAACAAACCATCATGCTCTTACTTTGAAATCATGCGGAAATGTCGTCATCAGCAGGCCATCACGTGGTTTCCGAAAATAACCGAGTGACACGAGTAGATTTTAGTCGAGACCGGCGGAAAATATGTCTCGAAATTCCGTGTGTGTAAAAAGACGATCCGCGAACAGAGATTTGAGATCCGTGAACAGAGATTTGAGATCCGCAAGCGCATTTTTGGTCCACAAATACAAAATGGATTCACAAATGCCTGATCGAAAGGTGTAAATGTTAAAGAGATATTCACAGATCTTTTTTTAATTTGTGAACATATTTAGCGTATTTGCAGATCCGTTTTACACTTGCAAATGTATTTGTGAGTTTTCAAATCTTTTAAATGCATTTGTGGATGTTGTTTTACATTTACAAATAACATATTTACACACAAATTATTTTTATGTTCACACAAATAATTATGAGACATATCTATGCCCATAGCTTTAACTCGTATGTCTAACTTTCATGTTTCTCTTTTCAGCCGCAGACCCCATGTCGCCTCTTTATGTGCGTCGCTAAGTTCCTCGTACTACTTGTGTACTTTAAAGCGGCTCGGAATCGTTAACAATTTGCGAGCGATTTTTCAAGTTGACCGTCTGTAGTATGATGACCGATGGACTGTCCACTCCAGGTAGGGAATGAGTCCTTACCCCAAGTGAAGGAGTTCAAGTATCTCGGGGTCTTGTTCTCGAGTGAGGGAACAATGGAGCGTGAGATGGGCCGGAGAATCGGAGCAGCGGGAGCGGTACTGCAGTCGCTTTACCGCACCGTTGTGACGAAAAGGGAGCTGAGCCAGAAGGCAAAGCTCTCGGTCTTCCGGGCCATTTTCGTTCCTACCCTCACCTATGGTCATGAAGGATGGGTCATGACCGAAAGAACGAGATCGCGGATACAAGCGGCCGAGATGGGTTTTCTCCGCAGGGTGGCTGGTGTCTCCCTTAGGGATAAGGTGAGAAGTTCGGTCATCAGGGAGGGACTCGGAGTTGAGCCGCTCCTCCTTCGCGTCGAAAGGAGCCAGTTGAGGTGGTTCGGGCACCTAGTTAGGATGCCACCTGGGCGCCTCCCTAGGGAGGTGTTCCAGGCACGTCCAGCTGGGAAGAGACCAAGGGGTAGACCTAGGACCAGGTGGAGGGATTATATCTCTTCGCTGGCCTGGGAGCGCCTTGGGATCCCCCAGTCAGAGCTGGTTGATGTCGCCAGGGAAAAGAAAGTTTGGGGCTCTCTGCTGGAACTGCTACCCCCGCGACCCGACCACGGATAAGCGGGAGAAGATGGATGGATGGATGGAAGTTCCTCGTACTACTTGTGTACTTTAAAGCGGCTCGGAATCGTTAACAATTTGCGAGCGATTTTTCAAGTTGACCGTCTGTAGTATATAGTGCCGCGCACATATACCATCAGGACGTTACTGATGGGGTGCGGCTGCGGAGTGATACTGTGTGTATGCAAGCCCGCATCTAGGACGGATCTATGTATTACCTGTTAAGTAATAAAGATACCTCATACAAAGGTCTACGGATACCTTATTACTCTCCATGACCTGCGGTCAACTATGTAGCATAAAGGACTATTACACCGTCTTTCTTGAACAATCCGAAGTGTTGCCAAACGTTTGATTTGTAGGTATTTTTCGATGCGCTGTGTTTCTCTTTCCCCTCAACTTCCGTGTGTGTTGATAACTGAGACTCTCGGCCTCCGTAGTGGCGAAGCAAATATCAAAGATCGTCTCTGCTGAGCGTTGACCAGATGAGGGAATTTTATATGATTAATCAGTTTTTTACCGATGCAAAGACGCTACGCAATCGATGCATCGCGAGTTCAACCCGGTTCAACCCAAACTGTAGCCGATGTGCACTCTTTCAACCGGTGCACTCGCATCTTGAACGTTTATGCCGGTGCACCGATGCGAATCGGTGAATCTTAACATCTCTAGTACAGCTCCTTATGGGTACTGCAATTTGTGGAAGTGGCGGAGCGGCGTTCTTCTGTTGCTCTCGGTCAGAACTGCATCCCTGTCAGACGAGACATATACCACGTGATGACACGTTAGGCTTGTGATGTGTTCAAGGACCCTGACCGTGGCCAGGAAAAACAGGCACTCGCTTGTTTATTTTTTTTGCGGTCTAGATTTCTTTAATTTTTTTATTTTTTGCGTATGTTTTTAAATTACCTCGAGGGCCGTAGCTAATGGTCTCGCGGGCCGTATACGGCCCGGGGGCCGGAGGTTCCCCACCCCACCACCACTTTTTTTGCGCACGAAAAAGTATCTCGTGCGCACAAAATACTATTTCGTGCGAACGAGAAAGTATTTCGTACAGAGGAGCACAGAGGAGACAACCGTTTCATTGCAGACGGTTATGTTTATGTGGAGAAATGGCAGTGCATAGCCTACATTATTTGAGATATATTTCAAACTCGGACTTAATTTAGGGACATTTTGGCCAGGGGTTTAGAGCTATTTGTTTAAAGGTGGGTTAGGTAAGTTTGAGAAACCGGCTCGAGATCGCTAGAATTTGAAAATACACAACCGGAGAAAATCTGCCACTTCCTTACAGAGCCCCTCCTCCAACACACACTAACGCGCACATGACCAATGAGGGCACTAGATAAGTTTGTGCCCCGATGGAAGGCTGACAAGCAGATAGGCCATCCAGTTATTTTAGCCGGGCCGGCTAAAATAATTGGTCGTGCTTTTTACAGTATTACGGCTTCCACAGATGACATTTTTTAATGGATTTGTTGTCAAAGCACTTAAGATATTCATTGCTATCGGGATGTTAAGAGCATAACAACATGGAATATAACAAAAAGTGTATCTCGAGCCGGTTTCTCAAACTTACCTACCCCACCTTTAAGCACCGGATTCGCAAAACAGAAGAGTCTGTAAACCAGTCTGCTTTGATCTATGAATTCATGTCCGTGACCGTGACTCTCACAGTATCTGCTGCCCACAGCTGTTCTATAGAAGGAACATCTCCTTCACTTTATCTCTGCGGCACCAGTGGCCTGTACTACGAAGCAGGATTTGCTATTTACTATTCATTCATGAAGTTTGACGCTGCGCTGTCAGCACGCTTCTCCATGTTTGTGATTGGTCAAATGTTGCTAACTCCGTCCCTTTCACGTGAACGCGCTCTCAGCCGGACAGAGAAACCCTGGTTGATTTACTGAGTTGATAACCAGCTTCGTAGGACCGCGTTTGCTAGGGTTAGTTAAGCCGGGTAAGTCAAACATATCCAGGGTCTGTTGAACTGGCTTCGTCGTACAGGGCACTGGAGGCAGTAAAGTGTGACTCAGCAGAATCTGAGAAGAGCAGCAACAGCTGCAAAGAGCTGTGCCTTTTACGGTTTTACGGTAATAATAATACATTTCATTTATATAGCGCTTCTCATCTGCCAAGACAAATCTCGAAGCGCTTAACAGCAAAGGACACTGATACAATTTGAAATAATAATAATAATTAAAAAAAAAAAAAAAAAAAATATATATATATATATATATATATAAGATAAAAGTCGGAGATAGCGATAAAAATGTCAATACTCCAGGTGTACCATGCTCAAAGTTTATTGGAAGGCCTGCCGAAAGAACAGGGTCTGGTCAGGGTTGATGGATTCACTTCACTGTGTTTCCCTTCATTAGAATAGCTAAATAGAGATTGAGGCTGCTGCGTTTAACCACACACACATCCAACTGCCCGATTATTCCCCCTATTACTCGTTTTATGAAGGAGATGTCCGGTCACGAGGGCGCATGATGTGTGTGTGTTTGTGCTCAGCTCCGCTCTGTGTGTGTTTGTGTGTGTCCGACACCGGCATTTATTTTCAAATTACCATGAACAGTCATTTACACACATATGGTTCTCCATAGTTATATGTGTATTCCCAAGTGAAAGAAATGTGTTTAATCTTAATCTCGATGTAGTGCTATAGTCCTGCCGGAGTGCACCGGAACGAACGACAGTATCATAAACAAATGCCCACACACACACGCCCTGGCGACCGGACATATTATTCATAAAACTAATGATATGGTGTAATAATCGGGCAGTTCGATGTGTTTTACCCATAGGTTTTACCATAAGAATATCTCGTGCGAACGAGAAAGTATATAGTGCGCACGAGAAAGTATCTTGTGTGCACAAAAATATGGCCTCGTTTTATTTATTTTTCTCTCTATGAACCCTCCAGAGGCCTGTACTACGAAGCCGGATTTTCGCTTAGCCGGCTAACTTCAGGGGAAACTCGGGCTTTCCGTTTCCGGTCCTATGACGCTGGTTCTCTTTTTAGCGGGCTAGATCTCCATGGTAACTTATGCTGAGTGGCTAACCTCCTCCTCGGAGGTTAGGTTGCAGGCTAAGAGATCAACTCAGTGAAAGCACCGCCTGCTGACCAATCAGAGCTCCGTGTGCGGAGTTTAAAGCTATCAAGTAATATTACAGGATAGAGGAAATACAGAAAAGCTACTGTTGCAGGAAAGACGGCCGGTAAAAATCACAGACTGTGAACGTGAAAATTAATAGAATATCACCTCCCATCTTCAGAGCAATCTGACTATTATAACATTAGCGTTAAGAAAGCTTACTTAAATATCTGCCACAACATAAGTAACCGGATCAGAGTAACATTAAGTACAGTCCGCGGCACTGTGAGTGCAGACGTCGATGTGTCCCATTATCTATCATATCACATCATAATGTAGGCTATCATATATTTCCTTATCTGAGTCAGCTGAGCCGTATCTGGCCGTGCAACACTCACAGTGTCACATACTGTATGCAGAAGTATTATTTTAAGCAACACATTAAGTTGACGAAACACTCGAGTCAAATGTAATTAAAGTCAGATCCACTCGTGTCTTGGACGGGGCAGTGATATCATAAACCTGTTAATGTACGCATTCAAATGCTTTTTCTTTTACCAGCTGTCACCTTGCAGGTGCAGCTATGTGGCTTTTATCCTGGATAAAGTGTTTAAGTCATGGATGTTTAAAGTTCAACTTCTTCATATGTGACTAATATTAAAGTTGACTTTTCATTCAGGAAGTATGACCCTGCGCTGTCAGTGCGCTTGTCCATGTTTGTGATTGGTCGAATGCTCCAAATACCACCCCTTTCATGTGAACGCGCACCTAACTAGATAGGACACGGCTGGCTTGAGCGATCCACTTGATAACCCGTGTCGTAGTACCGTTTAGCGAGAGCGTGTATGTTTTGGATTAGGCCAACCGGCTAACTCAAACATATCCAGGTTAGGTTGAACCAGCTTCGTAGTACAGACCTCTGGGCTCCGTAAAAAATAAATAACTTTGACAATAAATAACAAGTATGAGTTCACTGGTCCTGCTCATAACCATTCAGGATTTGGTTTCTAAATAATAGTTTTAGTTTAGATAAACTTGCACAATATTTCAGTTCCATAAAGTACAGTGTGTAAATAGCAAATATTTGCTTTGCAGGGTGGAGGCTTCTTTTTCATGGAGCATGTTGTTGGAGAGCCCTCCACCTGGACCTACTTCTTCCAGCATGTTCTGCAGCCCCCTTGGTACTACTATGGGGATGGATGTGAGATGGTCCGGGACACGTGGAAACCTCTGGAGGCAGCTGGATTCTCCGACCTCAAGCTGAAACATGTGGAAGCACCACTCATGTTCCTTGTCAAGCCTCACATCATCGGTTACGCTGTGAAATAAATGCTGTCATTAGGTCTGCATTACACAGTCAAGCGCTTAATACCCCCCCCCCCCCCCTCTCTTTTGTGATATGATAGATCATCAGTGATGGAGATAATCCCAATCACTTTAATACTAATTTTATTTTTGTATTTTAAAAAAAAAAACCTTCAGTGTTTGTGTTTTGTAAAGATACATTCAATTAACACATTGAATAAAAACATTGCATATGGCATTCAATACAAAATGAATATTTTAAATGTTTAATCTTCTATATGTCACTTCCCATTTCCAAGATGCTATGCTGTTACATCGATAAGATGCCACCATAGGACAATGTGTGTTCTGATGTTTGTGTACTACTGCTGGATTCATTGGCGTCATTTATGACATGACAGGTGTGTCACTAATGTATTTTTGCTGTTAAGCTGATTGTGTTGTCTTATTAAAGACTTTCTGCTGCACGATTGGTGTTTTACTTATTAGACTAGTACTATATGATGGACAAGAAAGTCCAACATCTGGAATTGCGCCATCCTGTGGTTAAATGCGGGACATAATGATCTCACAGCAGGTATTAGTGTAATCCCTATGGTGTAATCCTGATCTTGTAAATCGCCTGTCGCCTGTCCCCCAGCAAGCCTTTTTCCAACTGAATAAAATGAGGTCTTGTCTCATTAAATCATGCCGATTTATTTGTTTAATTTTGACTTTGCCTTTACATCTAATGGAGATCACAGGCCTGTACGGCATGTACAAACGCTTGTTTCCGTTGCTCGCCTACAATATAACATTTTCATACAACGACAAAATGCACAAAACGAAAAGGGATCTTTTTCGGAACTTGGGCACATTTGCAAACACCGATGGTACTCTTCGTTTGCTGGAGATCGGTTGCGGCAGCGGGGCAAACTTCAGATTTTACCCGTACGGCTGCACGGTGATCTGCACCGACCCCAACCCGCACTTCGAGAAGTACCTGCGGATGAGCATGGAGGCGAACAAGCATTTGACCTATGAAACGTTTATGGTCGTCTCTGGGGAGGACATGGAGAAGGTGGAGGAAGGGTCGGTGGACGTGGTGGTCTGCACCCTGGTCCTCTGCTCGGTCAGAAACGTGCAGGAAGTGCTGCAGGAGGTGCGACGCATCCTCAAACCTGTGAGTGTGCTGCAGGATATATTTTCCTAGTGACTTCACGCACATTTAAAGTGGTAGGCCTACATGGCTTGGTTATTAACCTTTTATGGAGTCATGGGGAACCGGCCATTGTGCAGTGTTTATATTGTGTACTGCCTCCAAGTTTCTATTGATTGATACATTTGATTTCGAACTAGTAAAATAAATAATTACAAAACAAAACAAATGTTGCAGTGCATAGTCATGTAAGAGAAATCAAAACAAAAAACATTTACATATAAGAGCAATTTTTTTTTAATTAGCTTTCATCCCTTTACACCAAAGCAACAGAAGCAAGTGTGACTTGGCTCTATGAAACCTGATGTACTTATATGATTCTGTTTTCTTCAAGTTTGTATCTTCCTTTGGATAAAAGCGTCAGCTAAATGCAATGTAATGATCTTGAAATCCACAAGCCAGTGGCAAGTGGACAAAACTGTTATTTTCCAACACTGGTGTGGGGTCACTTGTCAATCCTTGCAGATAAAGTAGCTATTTTTGACGGTTATCATTTATTTGCATTATACCTTTAAATGAACACATTTGCTTTGTATTTTCAACATTGGGAGGGTGCTTTGAAAGAGCATCATATTTAAAAATAAATCACATCTTTTTTTTGTTTTTTGTTTAACCTTTGAGATACAATCTCAGCCAGTTAGAAAATGACAGTCACTGTTATTGCAAAGTTGCAGAACCCGTTCTGATTAATGGTGCGCTTACATGTTTGTGTTGGCTCTTTCTTGCAGGGAGGAGCCTTCTACTTTCTGGAGCATGTTGAGTCAGATCCTTCCTCCAGGACATTTTTCTTCCAGCATGTGTTTGAGCCCCTGTGGTACTATCTTGGAGATGGATGCATGATAACTAAAAAAACATGGAGAGACATAGAGGCAGCTGGTTTTTCTGAACTTCACTTAAAACACATCGAGGCTCCAAAGGTTTCACGGATGATAAGACCACATATCATGGGATACTCCATTAAATGATTGCAGGAAGGAATGGATTTATGTGCATCATATACACCAGCTTGAGGTTTATGTTTTTTAATTTTTATTTCAGCATATTCTTCATTTACGTTTTACACTCAAATTCATTTGAAAACGATGTGTCCAAATTTAGTCTGCCGTTATTACAAAGATGTTTAAATCTAACCATTTTAATTTCCACAGTACAAAAACACACTAGTCAAACTGCATTTATTGAGTGAAAATAGATTTATTTACTCATAGAATCAGCAACATTTCACACAGTTTGTTCTCCTTCCTTACACCTCCCAAGATGAACATAATAAATATTACCTGGACACTGTGCTTTTTTCCCTGATTGTCTAAGTAACTGCCAGAAACAACCAAACAAACCTCAGTCATTATTTTTGTTACCCTTTATATTCCATTGCACAAAAATAAGGAATGACCATTGTAACATCTCCTTACAGGGAAATGAGGGGAATTGCTGCTTCACAATATAAACAGTAAATTATGTCTGTGGTAAATATACAGTCAACATTCTGCAGGTGCTGTTCGATTATTTTTAAAATAAAAAAAACTCCAACAGCAACATTTTTAAAAACACAAGAAGAGGAGCAGGATACAAACTGAGACTCAAAGTTAAAGCTCACAATTTCAAACCTCCCATATTAAAAATGTACACAACTATAAATGTTATAGCATTAGCAAATTTTTATATAAAAAAACAGCAGGGGAAAAAATGTTTGAGTATATTTTACTGCCATCACAAGTCACTTTTATATCAAACAGAGTAAAAAAACTGGAGTCGAAGCCTGAATCGAAGTGTTCCCAGAAACCCAGTTCATGTCCAAATGTCTGAGCTGTGCTGCTCCCACATTATGTCCCAATCCTCAATCTCTACTCAGACAGGTTATCCTGTTTTAACACAATAAAGGTCCTTTAATGTTTTTAGTTCTTCAATCAGGGTCTTGTTTTGGTTTTCAAGAACAGCAACGCGGTTTTCGAGGCATTTAACATATTCCTTTTTCTTCCGCCGACATTCACGGGCTGCCTCTCTGAAAGAGGGACAGAAATGTGCAATTAGTCTAACTGAAAAAATGATGCAATTACTGCACCTACAGTAGGGAATGCATTAACTTATTTTAAAACTATAGTTTATTAACACCTCAGGGTTTAGAGAGCATATTTCTCTCTAGTAAAGTACATCAGAAAAGTTGTATTACAAATTGCGATTCCTGTAAACTGAAAAAACCTCCACAACAGATAATGTAAAAGGTACCTTTTCCATTATAGGTCAAATGATTTATCATCCTGATTTATATGGTGCAGGCCTATCCTAGAGTACATGTCAACGTAGAGTGTTGTCACTATAGCAACATTAAATGATGAATATGAATGCTTTACACTACAAATGTACAACAAAAAAGTTGCCTGTGATATCCATACAATTCCAGTAATGGAGGAACTTTAGCATCAGAAATCGCAATTTTCTGGGTATGTTAATATTTGTAATTTATCAAATTAGCTAACCTGTTAGCTAACCTGTTTTTAGCCAGCCTGATTTCCCTCTTCATCGTTGGATCGTCACTCTTGCCCTGAGAATGCCCCATAGGAGAGGTCATGACGACGGTCTGGGGCACGGAGCCGGAGGAGGATGCTGTGCGGATCTGGTATGTTTGCATTTCTCCTCCTGCACCTGGAAACATGACAGTCAAAGGATGACAGCAGGGGTCATTAACAGCTCCGCCATCAAACGATACATAACATAAGAGATTTCACTTGAGAAGTTTAGACATTCATTTGTTAACCATAAACAATTATACATTAAGAACCTATGAGAATATATCATTTAACTTGAAAAACACAAATATTGTGATACTAGATGAACTATCACCTTGGGTTCAGAGTCCTGCATCGGGTCGGGTACCCGCGGGTACCCGACGGGTGACCCGCAAAAAAGGTGATTCGCGGGTGGTATTTTTTCAAACGCTTTTTTCCGGGTTCGGTTCTGGGTAAAACAAAGATGATGCGGGTCGGGTCGCGGGTATTGCATAATAAATATATTAAAAATAATAATAATTTAGTTTAATGTTTAAATCCTCAGACCTCTCCCCCGCGGGACCGCGCATAATCGTAACCTCTGCAGCGCATCAATCTGCTGCTGTGTAAATTCTCCACATTCGAAATGGCTGAGGTGAAGCTCTCTAGCAGAGAATACAGCATTTTCAATAACACTTCCTCAAGAGCGAAATCCAACGTCTGGGAGGCTTTTTGTGTCATCCTAGATGGAGGAAATAACCAACATCCCACGCTTTTTGAGACAAATATGCAACTGCGTGTGTTAATAATTGCACGTTTTCACTGCTCATATGCTATGCGGGTTCGGGTCGGGTTGCGGAACTAATTGGCAATATGTGCGGGTAACGGGGCGGGTTCGGTATTGTACGTCGCGGGTGCGAGGCGGGAGCGGGTCTTGAAAATCAGACCCGTGCAGGACTCTGCTTGGGTTATGGATGTTGATTATATGTAATGCATACATTGTGTTTCCACGTTTTAAGGACTGCATTAAAAATGTAAAGTGATGTCATTTTCTAAACTTACCACAATGTTCTCTTCTATAATTTGCCGTAAACCACCTACAGGGATGCAAACTCATCAAGTATGAAAAAGGTGACAAGGATCCGAGCCCCCCCGACCCCACGGAATATCGGCTTTAAAATGAGGAATAACAGATGATTTTAGCAGTCAGAGCAACTAAAGCAGCAGTTAATAAGAACAGAAACGCCAAGGAGTCACATCTAATATAAATATATATAAAAGCATTTATTTTAATTGTGTAGCAGTCAGTTTATCATTTTGGCAGCACTGTTGAGCATTTTGAAAATGTATTTTCATGCCTCTGCAAGGCTTAGTCTTTCTATCTTTATAGCCACTGGTGTAAAGTAACTAAGTTCATAAACTCAAGTACTACTTGGGTACAATTTTGAGATACTTGTACTTTATTTAAGTATTTCAATGTTTCTTTTGCTACTTTGTACTTCTACTCCACTACAGTTCAGAGGTACATGGTGTACTTTTCCTCCACTACATGTATTTAATACCTTTAGTTACTTCACAGATGTGGATGAATGATGTGAAATATAACCAAGTGTTTAATCAGACTTTAGTTCCACCTGGAGTGAATCCACAAGCTACCCTGCAGTATACAAAGTACTTCAGACTAGCTGCACCTTCACCAGCTTTGAGAACACTTTCATGATCAATCATTATAAAACACATCATTCTGAAATGGACCAATCTGCACAATGACTTCTACTTTTACTCAAGTACAAGATATATACTTATACCACCTCCGTTTATACAGCCTATGAAAAAAACTATTAGAAAACTAAGGCTAAAGCTAACGTTAGCAGATAGTGATGCTAGTTTGCTAGTTAAGTTTGCCCGACAGGGAGCTCTGCTCTGAACACCTGAGCGGCCCGTTCTAACAGCTGTTCACCAGCGGTCCAACACAGTGACTCCGGACAACACAGTTAATATCAACGAACGCACCCGTAGGTAATGTAGCTGCTGAAGCTAGACACTCATCGTAGAGCAGCAGAGCGTTATTATACATCCATGAGCAGAGGAAGACTCGAGCACACAGCTCGCGCTTCATTATAATATATAAAAAAAGAAAACCATGCGTGTCATGACGGCACATAGCAGCTTGCGGCCGCAGATTACTCCGGGTCCCAGACCCCCCCCCCATACCCCAAAAATATTTTTATTGCAGATCTACATGAATCACACAAACGACCTATTTTGGATTCAAAACGGCGAATTTCGCCGAAAGGTGACAAGTTTGCATCCCTGCACCTAGTCATTATATCCACATTACTCATGGTGATTTATCAAAATAATTATTGGGGAAATATTTTGGGAAAAGCACCCAATAGTCAGCCATTTTAGCCTTGAATTTACCTAGTAGGTTTTCACCTGCGTGCCTGAAAAGCCATTTACTAGTTTACCTAAAGACATCCTTCTAAAGAAGCTTATTATGCTGGAATCAAAGCATCCTGCTGGAAGTAAGGCACCTTGAGGAAGCACCTTTAGCATGTTAGTCTTTTCTATTGCGGCCAGTGATGGCTAGTCCAATGAAAGTAGGTTACAAATGTTTATTGTTGTGTTATTGATGTATCTTTCACTGTTCAGAACCAAAAAACGAATAACAATGACAGCGGTGCAAATGATAGATGGACTATCACTCTTTTCACAGTTTAAAGAAATGTAACCTCCACTACTTGGACAGTCTTCTTGGACTTTCGCTCTAACTCCATTATAGCTATTTGCCAAACAGCTAGATACCGTTAAAAAATGTTTTTCATGTTTTCTCACCTTGTACAACAACCTGGTTGCTAGGCAGCAGGATCTGCTGGCCGTCCGATGTCTGGGCATACTGAAGGATGGTCGCGCCTTGTTGTTGGCCAGCGTTGGCCATGGTGACAGTCTGCAGCCCCTGAAGGCCTTCAGACCCCGAACCGGCCAGCTGGATTGTGCCATTAGCGCCTATGGTAACTAGAATAATTAAAAAGACTGCATCAGAACTGGGTAAAGCACAAGTTAAAGACACCTTTAAACTAGCTAGGTTAAAATGTCTTGGTACTGCAGAATAGTGTTATTTGATTTTTTTTATTTGATTTATTTCGAATGTGTAAAACAATTTTTTTTTTAAAAATGGAACATGAGAATTATTATACAATACAAAGTTAATCAGTGTCAAATTGATATACAAAAAGATTACTGATTCTAAAATTGTGTATAAACAAATAATCTACTTAATTACACATCCGAAAACACATAGTTGATTGATTGAGTATTTTTAATAAATATTCTCTGGTCTTCAGAAAAAAATATTTAAAAAATGAATGAAATTAGAGGCCATTTAATCCCACTTGGGAAACACGTTTTTTATTGCAAGTGATATTAAAAAGGAGAAACACATACTGTACTGGCCGGAGGTGGTCTGGTAAATTTGGCCGGCGGGTAATGTAACCCCCGCG